GACAGCGACTCAGCCCCTAAATCACCCAGGCTCAGAATAATCATCCCATCGGGCCTGGAGCATCACTTCAAGGCACGGGTCTATGACTGGTATAACACTTATAAAGTAACAACTGTTGAAAAATTTTCTCAGGATCTAATCAAAGTTGTCACTGACTATTATAACACATGGGTCTGTTCACGAAAACTCTCAAAGAAAAAGAGGCCCCAGGCCTCCCAGGTACCGAGGTGGATCAATGACCCAATTCTAGCCAAGGAACATCAACGGGTTCAGGAGCTTGCTAATTGTTATAAAGATGATAAGACGACAGACAATCTTCTGCAGTTTCTGAAAGCCAACAAGGAATTCAGAGAATTAAAAATTCAGATTCGTAGTAAACACTGGGAAAAATTCTTGCAAAGTATCAATAGTCAAACTTCTGTAGCAGACGTATGGAGAAAAATTAATAGGCTAACAGGTAAAGCTCCCACAACACCGCAGTTCCACAGTCCACAAGAACAGGCTAACATGCTGTTAGAGCATTGGGCTGGAAATTCTCAGTTACACTCACTCCCACAAGGGATAAAAAATCAGCTCAACAAGTCGAAAATAGATAGAAATTTTAATATAGCAATAGCCTGCGCTGCTATTGACCCCTCCAACTTTGTCGAAATAACCGAGTAGGAACTGAAAGGTAAGGCAACCGCCCCTGGCGAGGACGGCATTACTTACAGCGTCCTTCTCCTCATTGCTCAGGTGCCAGGCAGCCCACTTTTACACCTGTTTAGACTCAGCCTATCACAAGGAATCCTCCCAAGCTCCTGGACTAAAAGCTTAATCATTCCTATACCCAAACCCAATACTGACAAATACAGACCCATTTCCCTGACCTCCTGTCTGTGCAAAGTACTTGAGAGAATAATTTAGAACAGGCTCATGTATCGCATAAATGCTAAGTTATCCCCCAGACTGTTTGGATTTCTCCCAGGGCGTAGTAGTCAGCACTGCTTTGCAGAGTACTTAACAAACTCAAACCCAGGCATGCAAACCGTATTCCTTGATCTTAAATCTGCCTTTGATATTGCAAACAAGGAAATTATCTTTGAGCAACTAGCTAGCTTTGGTATTCAGGAAAAACTGTTAACATGGATTCAAATGTATCTATCAAATCGATCGGCTCAGGTTCTCTTCAGGGGCATTAAGAGCACTCATACAAAAGTATTTGAACTCGGCACACCTCATGGAGGCGTACTTAGTCCCATGCTATTTATTATCCTAATGCATAGATTACTGGGCGATATACTACTTGCAGGCAATGACTCCATTATTTGCTATGCCGATGACATCTGCATTAAATCCTCATCTGAGGAGAGAATGCAAGAGATTCTTGATATACTTTCTGCAAGGGCTACTGAGTGTGGCTTAATAATCTCAACTAAAAAAAAACAAGGTACTTAACCCAAAGACAATCCCTCTGCCAAGATTTCATATTAATGACGTTCAGCTAGATCTCTGCCACCAATACAGATACCTCGGGGTGATTGTTAATTATTCAAAATTCATCAGAAACCTGAAGAAAAGCCTATGGGAGCGGCTGAAGCCACTTAGGACACTTGTCGGCAAAGACCATGGTATTAATGTCAATATTGCGAGACTCTTTCACTTGTCATACATAAGGTCGGTCATAGATTACCATGCATTGCACCTAGTATTTTTCAAGGAATCAGAGTTGACTAGTTTAGAAAGTGTACAAAATGAAGCCATGAGGATCATTCTTGGTGCCCCAAGAACAACAAGGATTGTGAAAATGAGAACAGAACTTAATTTGCCTTCTCTTTATGAAAGAATATTATACATAAATACCACATTTAGTGTCAAATCAATTAGAGAACCCCTCCACTGTACAGAGTTCCAAAGACAACTAAAACACAGAACAGATGAGCTAACTTTGAATGACAGCACCGATTCATTTTCAAATCCATGGGTATAAGTAACATGTAAACACTTAGCTCAGCTGAACATACCCATAACTAAGACCCTACATGGACGTTCTGTACCACCGTGGAAAATGTCGGACCTAAGTGTATATTATACGACTGCCCCCCAAAAAAGACAGTGCCCCCCCTGCTATACTTAAGCAGTATGCACTTGCAATTATAAGTGAGCATCTAGAAACTCTGCCCAATGCATATGAATGCTACACTGACGGATCCTTACAATCTGGGAGCAGAGCAGGATGCGAATTTGTTGTATATAAAAACAGCATTTTGCAGTAACAGGATTGTAGGAGGGTTCATGACTGGGCTAGCACTTCACAAACTGAGTTGGCAGGAATACTCATGGCCACCGAATTTCTATTGAATCAAGGCTCAGGGGTCATTTTCTGTGATTCACAGAGTGCTCTCCAGGCTCTGAACACTCTAGACAAAGGTGCGGGAAATATTGCAAATGACATCAGGATAAACGTGTATCGTGCAAAAGAGCGAGGCCATAATATACGTTTTGTGTGGATCCCATCGCA